AGCTTGAAAAAGGAGGCAGGACCTCAGAAACGCATTGCTGTCCACCCCCCATTGGCTGTTGTGTTTTCCTGTTTGCCTTTCTGTTAGTGCCGTGAGTGAGAGGAGAGGAGACCATCTTGCAGCGGGTCCCTGCTTGTGCCCTGCAGCCCTATCAGTCCATCCAGATTGTGGTGAGCTGTATATCGCACCACCACTCTGACACCTGGAGCAGTCTACAGGTCTTTCAGATGTAAGTGAGAAATGGAAGCGTACACTAATCTGGCACCCCGCTCTTTTTCTTTTGTATGCTCATGAGGGGTTACCCAGATCCACTGGCTAGGAACGGCAGAACAGAGCGTGTTTCTCTTATCCACCTTTCCAGCCATCCATCCACCTGCTCTGTGAACTCTGGATTATTCACTGTAGACTTGAGCACCAATTGTGCTTGTTTAATCAAGAGTTGTACCCTTAATACAGCAATACTGGGATTTTAATGAATCTAAGGTGCCAACCCCAGGGCAATCTATATCTATCTATCTATCTATCTATCTATCTATATTTCAAGATTCTTTATTGAGAAAATATATAGGGCTGAGTAAAAGGTTGTCATTCTCAACAGTGACGTTGACAAAAAGATGGAAAATTTGTATCAAATAACATAGCCATAAAGTACAGGATTACAGTTTATGTTACAGAATGTTACAGATACGCACAAAATGCAAATGACAGTGCAGGCAAGACAATATATTTCTGTTAATAAGGGCAAACATTCTGATGACACATGCACTCTCCACAAGTTACAGAAGAAAGTACAGGGTGCATAATAAGTAGAGATGAGCGAATCGAACATGGCGAAGTGGAATTCGTTTCGAAGTTCAGGAAAAATTCGATTCGCGCCGAATCCGAAAATTAGCAAACTTCGGATGCACGAATCGAATTTTCCCAAAAATGGCGGCGACATGTGTGGCGACAGAGCGGGGATCTCTGGGAAGGCGCGCAGACAAGGCGCGCTGACCCATAATGCATTCATTCATGACATGTGATCGCATTAGCCAATCAGCAGCCAGCCAGCCAGCACTGTGTAATGGTGGAGCTATAAATTGCGGCCATCTTACAATTCTCCATTAGCCTCCGGTCATTCAAGAGAGACAGACCTGTCTGTATTAGGGACAGAGTTAGGGCCAGAGAGACTTTAGGGCCACAGAATCGTTACTTAGGGACACAGAATCGTTACTCAGGGACACAGAATTGTTACTCAGGGACACAGAATTGTTACTCAGGGACACAGAATTGTTACTCAGGGACACAATCGTTACTCAGGGACAGACACAGAATTGTTACTCAGGGACACAGAATTGTTACTGAGGGACACAGAATCGTTCAAGAGAGACAGACCTCTGTGTATTAGGGACAGAGTTAGGGCCAAAGAGACTTTAGGGCCACAGAATCGTTACTTAGGGACACAGGAAATTGTTACTTAGGGACACAGAATCGTTACTCAGGGACACAGAATTGTTACTCAGGGACAGACACAGAATTGTTACTCAGGGACAGACACAGAATTGTTACTCAGGGACACAGAATTGTTACTCAGGGACACAGAATTGTTACTGAGGGACACAGAATCGTTACTCAGGACACAGAATTGTTACTCAGGGACACAGAATTGTTACTCAGGGACAGACACAGAATTGTTACTCGGGACACAGTATTGTTACTCAGGGACACAGAATTGTTACTGAGGGACACAGAATCGTTACTCAGGGACACAGAATTGTTACTCAGGGACACAGAATTGTTACTCTGGGACACAGAATTGTTACTGAGGGACACCAGAATCGTTACTGAGGGACACAGAATTGTTACTCAGGGACACAAAATTGTTACTCAGAGGGGACACAGAAATCGTTACTCAGGGACACAGAATCGTTTTTGTTGTTACTCAGGGACACAGAATCGTTAGTGAGGGACACAGAATTGTTACTCAGGGACACAGAATTGTTACTCAGGGACACAGAATTGTTACTCAGGGGGAAAGACACAGAATTGTTACTCAGGGACACAGAATTGTTACTCAGGGACACAGAATTTGTTACTGAGGGACACAGAATCGTTACTGAGGGACACAGAATTGTTAACTCAGGGACACAGAATTGTTACTCAGGGACAGACACAGAATTGTTACTCAGGGACACAGAATTGTTACTCAGGGACACAGAATTGTTACTGAGGGACACAGAATCGTTACTCAGGGACACAGAATTGTTACTCAGGGACACAGAATTGTTACTCAGGGACAGACACAGAATTGTTACTCAGGGACACAGAATTGTTACTCAGGGACACAGAATTGTTACTCAGGGACACAGAATTTTTACTCAGGGACAGACACAGAATTGTTACTCAGGGACACAGAATTGTTAATCAGGGACACAGAATTGTTACTGAGGGACACAGAATCGTTACTCAGGGACACAGAATTGTTACTCAGGGACAGACACAGAATTGTTACTCAGGGACACAGAATTGTTACTCAGGGACACAGAATTGTTACTCAGGGACAGACACAAAATTGTTACTCAGGGACACAGAATTGTTACTCAGGGACACAGAATTGTTACTGAGGGACACAGAATCGTTACTGAGGGACACAGAATTGTTACTCAGGGACACAGAATTATTACTCAGGGACACATAATTGTTACTCAGGGACACAGAATTGTTACTCAGGGACAGACACAGAATTGTTACTCAGGGACACAGAATTGTTTACTGAGGGACACAGAATTGTTACTGAGGGACACAGAATTGTTACTCAGGGACACAGAATTGTTACTCAGGGACACAGAATCGTTACTGAGGGACACATAATCGTTACTCAGGGACACAGAATTGTTACTCAGGGACACAGAATTGTTACTCAGGGACACAGAATTGTTACTGAGGGACACAGAATTGTTACTCAGGGACACATAATTGTTACTCAGGGACAGACACAGAATTGTTACTCAGGGGACACAGAATTGTTACTCTCAGGGACACAGAATTGTTACTGAGGGACACAGAATCGTTACTGAGGGACACAGAATGTTACTGAGGAACACAGAATTGTTACTCAGGGACATACACAGAATTGTTACTCAGGGACACAGAATTGTTACTCAGGGACACAGAATTGTTACTGAGGGACATAGAATCGTTACTCAGGGACACAGAATTGTTACTCAGGACAGACACAGAATTGTTACTCAGGGAAACAGAATTGTTACTCAGGGACACAGAATTGTTACTCAGGGACACAGAATTGTTACTCAGGGACAGACACAGAATTGTTACTCAGGGACACAGAATTGTTACTCAGGGACACAGAATCGTTTTACTGAGGGACACAGAATCGTTACTCAGGGACACAGAATTGTTACTCAGGGACACAGAATTGTTACTCAGGGACAGACACAGAATTGTTACTCAGGGACACAGAATTGTTACTCAGGGACACAGAATTGTTACTCAGGGACACAGAATTGTTACTCAGGGACAGACACAGAATTGTTACTCAGGGACTCAGAATTTGTTACTCAGGGACACAGAATTGTTACTCAGGGACACAGAATCGTTACTGAGGGACACAGAATTGTTACTCAGGGGACACAGAATTGTTACTCAGGACACAGAATTGTTACTGAGGGACAACAGAATTGTTACTCAGGGACACAGAATCGTTACTCAGGGACACAGAATCATTACTGAGGGACACAGAATCGTTACTGAGGGACACAGAATCGTTACTGAAGGGACACAGAATCGTTACTCAGGGACACAGAATTGTTACTCAGGGACACAGAATTGTTACTCAGGGACACAGAATCGTTACTGAGGGACACAGAATTGTTACTCAGGGACACACAGAATTGTTACTCAGGGACACAGAATCGTTACTCAGGGACACAGAATCGTTACTGAGGGACACAGAATTGTTACTCAGGGACACAGAATCGTTACTCAGGGACACAGAATCGTTACTCAGGGACACAGAATCGTTACTCAGGGACACAGAATTGTTACTCAGGGACACAGAATCGTTACTCAGGGACACAGAATCGTTGAATTAAAGAGTATGTCAGACAACACGCAGAGGAGTGGCAGAGGAGGCAATGTTTCAGGAGCGAGCAGACGTGGCAGCAGAGGAAGGGGTCGAGGCAGCACTAGTCGCAGCCACGGGCCCAGTGTACATATCCCCGGTGTCATCCAGCGGTCGTGTCTCCACCGACAACCCTGCCGTCATCGATTGGTTGGTTGGCTCGGTCGTCTTCCTCTTCCCAGGTCACCTCTGACACCTACAGCCAACGGTCGGTGGGTACGTCAGACACAACCGTTAGTTGGCATGGCCCGGGAGCAAGCCCACTGAAATCACGTGTCCTCTACCTGCCCCTGTCCTTTGGTGTTCCCTCACCAAGCGAAGTATCGCATGCTGTGGGCTCAGCCCCACTGTACAGTGAGGAAGAGCTAACAGAGTGGGCGTCAGGAACGGGGGGAGACATCCGCCTCTTCAGCAGCCAGGCGAAGAAGTACTGGCGAGGAGAGTGGCTCGGTAGCCGGTCTAGAGACAGGTCTGTCTCCTGACCCACACGCAGCCGAGGGGGCTAGTAGTGAGGCGGAGACCCTAATTGATGATGATGAGGCTGATCGCACTTGGCAGCCTCGTCGTCATCTGCCAGGCCCGTAATCTGCCATGGGCCCCCGTACCGACTCCTCATGCTGCTGCCAGGCCCGTAATCTGTCATGGGCCCCTGTACCGCCTCCTCATGCTGCTGCCAGGTCCAGAGTGTGTCATGGGTCCCTGTACGGCCTCCCATTGCTGCTGTCTCCATCGCCACACTCTGCCATGTGCCCACTGTTCCACTTTCAGGTCTCTTCACACTGCTGGTGGGTTCCATTTTGTCATAGGGTGCTGGCAGATTACGGGCCTCCCATTGCTGCTGCCAGGCCCGTAATCTGCCATGGGCCCCCGTACCGACTCCTCATGCTGCTGCCAGGTCTAGAGTGTGTCATGGGTCCCTGTACGGCCTCCCATTGCTGCTGTCTCCATCGCCACACTCTGCCATATGCCACTTTCAGGTCTCTTCACACTGCTGGTGGGTTCCATTTTGTCATAGGGTGCTGGCAGATTACGGGCCTCCCATTGCTGCTGCCAGGCCCGTAATCTGCCATGGGCCCCCGTACCGACTCCTCATGCTGCTGCCAGGTCCAGAGTGTGTCATGGGTCCTGTACGGCCTCCCATTGCTGCTGTCTTCATCGCCACACTCTGCCATGTGCCACTTTCAGGTCTCCTCCCACTGCTGGTGGGTTCCATTTTGTCATAGGGTGCTGGCAGATTACGGGCCTCCCATTGCTGCTGCCAGGCCCGTAATCTGCCATGGGCCCCCGTACCGACTCCTCATGCTGCTGCCAGGCCCGTAATCTGTCATGGGCCCCTGTACGCCTCCTCCCATGCTGCTGCCAGGTCCAGAGTGTGTCATGGGTCCCTGTACGGCCTCCCATTGCTGCTGCCAGGCCCGTAATCTGCCATGGGCCCCCGTACCGACTCCTCATGCTGCTGCCAGGCCCGTAATCTGTCATGGGCCCCTGTACCGCCTCCTCATGCTGCTGCCAGGTCCAGAGTGTGTCATGGGTCCCTGTACGGCCTCTCATTGCTGCTGTCTCCATCGCCACACTCTGCCATGTGCCACTTTCAGGTCTCCTCACACTGCTGGTGGGTTCCATTTTGTCATAGGGTGCTGTATGGCCTCCCATTGCTGCTGCCAGGCCCGTAATCTGCCATGGGCCCCCGTACCGACTCCTCATGCTGCTGCCAGGCCCGTAATCTGTCATAGGCCCCTGTACCGCCTCCTCATGCTGCTGCCAGGTCCAGAGTGTATCATGGGTCCCTGTACGGCCTCCCATTGCTGCTGTCTCCATCGCCACACTCTGCCATGTGCCACTTTCAGGTCTCCTCACACTGCTGGTGGGTTCCATTTTGTCATAGGGTGCTGTCAGATTACGGGCCTCCCATTGCTGCTGCCAGGCCCGTAATCTGCCATGGGCCCCCGTACCGACTCCTCATGCTGCTGCCAGGCCCGTAATCTGTCATGGGCCCCTGTACCGCCTCCTCATGCTGCTGCCAGGTCCAGAGTGTGTCATGGGTCCCTGTACGGCCTCTCATTGCTGCTGTCTCCATCGCCACACTCTGCCATGTGCCACTTTCAGGTCTCCTCACACTGCTGGTGGGTTCCATTTTGTCATAGGGTGCTGTATGGCCTCCCATTGCTGCTGCCAGGCCCGTAAATCTGCCATGGGCCCCCGTACCGACTCCTCATGCTGCTGCCAGGCCCGTAATCTGTCATGGGCCCCTGTACCGCCCTCTCATGCTGCTGCCAGGTCCAGAGTGTGTCATGGGTCCCTGTACGGCCTCCCATTGCTGCTGTCTCCATCGCCACACTCTGCCATGTGCCACTTTCAGGTCTCCTCACACTGCTGGTGGGTTCCATTTTGTCATAGGGTGCTGTCAGATTTACGGGCCTCCCATTGCTGCTGCCAGGCCCGTAATCTGCCATGGGCCCCCGTACCGACTCCTCATGCTGCTGCCAGGCCCGTAATCTGTCATGGGCCCCTGTACCCCGCCTCCTCATGCTGCTGCCAGGTCCAGAGTGTGTCATGGGTCCCTGTACGGCCTCTCATTGCTGCTGTCTCCATCGCCACACTCTGCCATGTGCCACTTTCAGGTCTCCTCACACTGCTGGTGGGTTCCATTTTGTCATAGGGTGCTGTATGGCCTCCCATTGCTGCTGCCAGGCCCGTAATCTGCCATGGGCCCCCGTACCGACTCCTCATGCTGCTGCCAGGCCCGTAATCTGTCATGGGCCCCTGTACCGCCTCCTCATGCTGCTGCCAGGTCCAGAGTGTGTCATGGGTCCCTGTACGGCCTCCCATTGCTGCTGTCTCCATCGCCACACTCTGCAATGTGCCACTTTCAGGTCTCCTCACACTGCTGGTGGGTTCCATTTTGTCATAGGGTGCTGGCAGATTACGGGCCTCCCATTGCTGCTGCCAGGCCTGTAATCTGCCATGGGCCCCCGTACCGACTCCTCATGCTGCTGCCAGGCCCGTAATCTGTCATGGGCCCCTGTACCGCCTCCTCATGCTGCTGCCAGGTCCAGAGTGTGTCATGGGTCCCTGTACGGCCTCCCATTGCTGCTGTCTCCATCGCCACACTCTGCCATGTGCCACTTTCAGGTCTCCTCACACTGCTGGTCGGTTCCATTTTTTCATAGGGTGCTGTATGGCCTCCCATTGCTGCTGCCTCCACCGCCACACTGTGGCTCCACACTCTGGTTTTGGCCCCGTGACTGCCCAAATGAGTGAAGTGTGCGGTGATTCTAAGTCGACGGCACTCATCTGCATGTCATACTGACTGACAGTATTATTTCTCTTCCCTAGCAGACTCCAAGGGCATTTAAATTAAAGGTACAGTGTTCTGCTCTAATATAAAGGCTCTCTGAAGCCTAGAAACACCCTTTTTATAAGTTAAATTCGCAGCGAATATATTCGACTCAAATCAAATTTATTCCGCGAATTCGCCGAATCAGCCGAATCGAATTTTTGAATAATTCGCTCATCTCTAATAATAAGCCTTGCATTTATATCATATAAATATCACCAAGAGTAATCTTTGCACACAAAACATATATTTTGACCAGTGAGATAAAAATGGCAGATTACTCACCCTACTGGCTCATAATGATGGCCCTATTACTGCTATCTCAAGGATCCTCACTCCAGAGGGATAGGAAGTCATTGAGCCTGCTGACATTCTGGATGTTTTTTCCAATTCTATAGGAAGGTATATTCCACTTCTCTGTCATAGCAACCAAATCTGTTGCCTTTAATATCTTTGTTGGGTGAGGTTGCATTGGGCTAGCTATCTGTTGGGTGAAATATGTAGCGAAATTATACTTCTCCAAACCTCAGTAACGCAGCCAAGCTTTCATCATTCTTTTCAACAGTATTGTATCAATCCATATTCTTTATATAGTGACTAATAAAAGTTGTTAAAATCTTTTTAATACATGTTTTTTGTTGTACTTTTGCAACTTTAAAATCCCACATTTCTTGGCTCTATATTTTCAATTACAGGGATGTGGTGCTATTTGCATATTGTTTCACCCACTTGTCACTTTCCTTTATCTAGCTATCTGATGCTGAGCACTTATTCCTGGCCACCATATATCTGAGACAAAAACTGAGGCTTCTAGTAGTTCCTTCCCAACTGGAAAAGCTCCTGGCCCAGATGGTATTTCCATGGAATTTTACAAAACGTGTTGCACTCTAGATACTAAACACACACTGTTTAATTTACATTATCCCTTCTATATCTGTGTGGGAATGATGGCACTGTAATTACTTTGATTAAAAAAAAAAAAAACTAAGTTCCTTTTTTTCTTATCAATATACAGCTGTCACATGACCCAGATCTTTCCCAGCCTGCAGGGAAACATAAGCAGGAGGAGCCTCTAGTCCCCTGCTGCTGGTCACATGTTCAAAATGCTTTGGGATACAGAATATAAATAAATTGGTGATTCCTCAATTAAACTATATGTAATATTCCACCCCCATTGTGTTTAGCATGGAGGAGGAGAAAGGAAATGGGCTGCCATTTACCTCTGTGTATATACCCACATATGTGTCTTTATAGTCACATGTGCTTCTCAGATGTTATAGGGAGGAAATGCTCAGCATAGAAACTCACTGAAAACTGAGCATGTGTAGAGTTGCCTCCACAGCTGCAAAAATCGCTAGCTGAATTGGGGACATGGACAGAAGGCAGAGATAGAGAACAGCAGGATTAACCAGGTTTTTTTGCAGTATATATAACTTTATCATTACTTAAAATAACAACGTAATACATACACTCACTGGCCACTTTATTAGGTACACCTTACTAGTGCCAAGCAAATATCCTCCACAACATTACACCACCACCACCAGTCTGAACCATTGATACAAGGCAGGATGGTTCCATGCTTTCATGTTGTTTACACCAAATTCTCTGATCCTACCATCTGAATGTCGCAGCAACCAGTCTGCCCATTCTCCTCTGACCTCTGACATCAACAAGGCATGTTCATCCACACAACTGCTGCTCGCTGGATATTTTCCCTTTTTTGGTCCATTCTCTGTAAACCCTAGAGATGGTTATGCATGAAAATCCCAGTAGATAAGCAGTCTTCGAAATACTCAGATCAGCCCATCTGGCACCAACAACCCCTGCCACATTCAAAGTCACTTAAATCCCCCTTCTTCCCCATTCTGGTGCTCGGTTTGAACTTCCACATCAACATGCCTAAATGCATTGAGTTGCTGCCATGTGATTGGCTAATTAGCAGTTTTGTTACCAAAAAATTTAACAGGTGTACCTAATAAAGTGGCCAGTGAGTGTATATTGTTTTTTTAAGGACAAAAGGCTTTTTTCGTGAAATTTTTTTTCATGAAATTTGCTTTGCAACAATTATATTTTTTCACAATCTATAGACAATTAAATGTAACACAGCTAAAAAACCCTCACTTTTTTTTTTGAGCAGTGTTAGTTTAAAAATAAATAGTACACATTTATTCTGTGATTTGTCCTGTTTAAAATTACACTAAAATTATGATTCTGTTACAAAGCATTTACAAATCTACAAATGAAATAAATAAAATTTTTTACAGTTTTGCGCTTTTTTCAGTGTGAAACATGTAAATATATGTTAAAGGTGTAAAAATATTAATGAACAAAGGGAACAAAACCAACATTTTTTTCTAATTATTATTAATTTATAAAATGGAAATGAAGAACAAAAAATCAACAGGAAAATATATAAATGGAGAAGGAGAATAAGGAGTTATTTAGGGCTGATTAGAGTAAATTAAGGGTTAGTAAGGGGTTAAAACATTTATGTAAAGGCAAATTTGTTTTTTTATTACATTTTCAGCAAATTAACAAAACAAGGCATGAGAAATATAGAAAACAAGTACAAGTAGATAAACATAAGAAAAACCACATCACAGATGTGACGATGATCCATGTAGGTAGGTGAAAATGATTCCATAAAACAGAACAATGGAAGGATCAATAACATACTGTAGTATCACATATTACGGAGATATAAAAAAACAGAGTTTCAAGGGGGGTATCCCCAGCGATATGTAAGGAACAAAAAATATGAGAAGAGAAAAAAGAAAAGTCAGTTGTAGAGATAGAGAAAGATGAGAAGAGAGGGGGTCGGGAGACTGGAACGGCAAAAAGCAGAACCAAGGCTGTCCTCTACCAGTATCCCACTGGGGTGATCCCGTCAACCACACCTGGCAGGAGCCACGGGGCCACACTGGCCACACTGGTGGACCTTCCAAAAAGAAAATGAATCGGGGGGGGGTTCAATTCCTTCAGGGCACCACAGGGATACACATTTACTTGACAGGTAACTTTTAACTGACTTCATCTGCAGATTGAAGTTCTTTTTATCTTTCTGTGCTGATCAATGTTGTTGATAAACATTGTCAGGCTGTTTTTCTTTTTTGACAGCTCTTTATCACTTCAGCTGTCAGCAGGGGAACCCAGCTGAATGAGTCATCCTGTTAAGAACATCTCAACAGACATTAATTGCAGTTTTTTTTTTTTTTTTAAATTACATTTTAGTTGTCAGTGGGGAATCCCTCTGACAGCTGAAAAAAAAACAAGCTTGAAGGTATTGGTTTCAGGTATTAAAATATTTGCACAAGTACCGATACTTGTGTAAATGCTTAGTATTGGCACTGATACCGATACCGGTATCGGTGCAACCTTAATTGTTACCATTAATTAATTCCTCTTATACTTAAGTTCCTTAAGATCTGTGCTCTTTTTTGTCTTCTTAATGATATTCCACCTGATCCTGGACTTTGAGGATCTGAATTGGATTGGTCAGTAATGTATGTCACTTTTTTTTTCATGGGAACTTGCTCCACTTA